GAAAAAAAACCCTTTAATTTCATTCTAATGTTATTTCTTCGGTATTCACAGGAACTTAGGTATTCACAGTAATGCCAGTTTTGAGTCTGTTATGTTTTGAGAGTTAATGTAGGGCAATTACAGCCAAAGTATATCTGGGGAGAGTCCTAGCAGAGTGAGTACATTTCTGCTTTGAATGGGTACTTAATTGTTGATGCGTAAGAGGTTTAGTAGGCTCCTAAAATTTTATACCCCCTTCCAGACGACAGAATATATGGCCAGGAAGCAGCCTAACGCTGTGAGAAGGGAGAGCCGGACAGCAAAAAATCAAAAAGCTAACTATTCTCTGGTTACCACTTTGTGGGGTCTGGTACCCTGTTTTGCATCCTCTTTACACTGTGTTATTCAGACCCAGGCTCCCTCGTAGGAAGACAATTACAGAGGACACTTTGCAGATCCTAGAGGTAGCACTTCTGCAGCTCTGCAGTGTGGCCGTGGTATTTTAGACTCCTTTGGGACAACCCGGATTTTAAAATGGGCGTAAACAGAGAAGGTACAGTTTTAGTAAAAACAAAAAGCAGCTCCAAGCTCTATAGCTACTGCATGTGTTAATTTTTAACATACGAAGCATTTTTAAGAACTGAGCATTTCACTTAAGGAAATAAATTTATGGACTGCACATGAGCAGGGTGGGGAAGGCTTCTGCAGAAAAGAAAATGCAAAGTAGCCTATAGAATGGCAGCGTACCACTAATCTGTACATATAAATTGTGGCTGATATTATGTATGTGACAAACAGCAGATAACCTGTCAGGAAACCAGTGAAACACCAACATACAAATGGCAAAGGCCTAGTGGGACTTCAGGAAGGAAAAAATGGTTTTCAGATTTGTGAGGGATGCATATATCACACTAACCTGTAGTGGATTCCGTATTGACAGTACTAATCAATATATCAGAATATTTGTTACGATTATTTAGCAATAATATATTACTGATAAGTAATTTCATTTTATGCAAGGTTTGAGTGATACACACTGTTTCCTACAACTGGCAGCAATATCACACATTACAATTCCCAAAGTATTAACACTATATATATCACATGCACACATGTATATAAGTTTTAGAGATGCCATGACATATTTATACTTGTTACTCGGCAATATTAGTTCTCCATTAAAAGTGTAATATTAAGATCTATTTTTTCAGGCTTGTGTTAGGCCTTGTAAAATAATAGTTTTCTGATGAAATAAAAAGTGTATGTTAATTACAATAATATTTTTTTTATTTTTGTGTTAAGTACAAGCATGCAATATCTGCATGAATTTTTTTTTTTGTACTGTTAATCTATTCTTATCTTTGGTAGTCTATAAGTGTTTTTTCTTTATTTATTTTTCAGCATAATGTCATGTCTTAGGAATTGCAGTGAAGTATGAATTTTCCTCGTTTTCTCCAGTTAGCAACTCTGTATTGCTCAGGCAATAGGGGAGGCTGTCAAATCCAAGATTAATAAATGAAACCCTGCGTCCAATGCTGCAGGTTATTTTTAATTCAATACAGAAAGAATTACATTTCTTCCCATTATATTTTCAGCCAGAATGTGCCCTTTAGAAAACTAGGGTTCTGATCAAAAACATTTTGCAGTTCAGAGCAGTAACTTGTACAGCCTCTTCCGGCAGCGTAGCCTGTGTGCCAGTTCACGTGCTGGTTGATATTGGGAAAGAATGGCCACCGCTGAGCTGTTCACTTTCTAATGATGGCCACATTAAGCGCCTCTGAGTGATGCTGTCCAGAGAAAAATTAAGAACTTAGTCTTCATTTGCTGCTCAGCTAATTTGCACTAAACTCCAAGTCCTAATGATGGAGTAGGTAGGCCTAATGCTATTTTTTTAGAGAGGAGGTACACAAAATTTCTTCTTTTCATCTCTTTACTTCTGTAATGGTGGTAAAGGTGGTCAGGATGGTGCAAAAGTGTGTCACTAGGGTTCCAGATGCCTTGGCAACTCCTGGGTGGAACCTCTTCTATAACAATTAACAGTTCTGCTGGAAAAGTATAAATCAAAATTATGCCTCGTGACTAATCAAAGAAGATTGATTTAAAGATAATTCCCCCGATGCTCAGATTATATCCTTGCAAAAGTAGATGCCTGTTCTGCTAGTAACAGTGCAGACCATATGCACAAACATTTTATGCAGCTAGTGTGGAGACCAGGATACCTCTGAAGGAAAGGCAGATACCTCTCTTTGCAAAGAGCAACTCAGGCAGCCTCAACCAGCAGCCAGTTCCTGCCTATTGACTGTGCAGGTAGCCTAAGTACCACCCTAAGTGATTCAATGCATGCACGCACTGCTAGAAAATAGCATAAAGGAAGGAGAAATGATAGGTGTTATGAAGATACATCCAAACAGTCTGTTTAATTCAGGGCTTCTGAATGCTTATCCATCCCTAGAAAGTATTCTGAGTTCACATATACAAGGTGAACATACCTTAGATTTGGGAGATAGGGACAGCGAGCCCCCCCAGCCTGAGTGCATGCCCCCATCCATCAGGCTGTAAAATATGCTGAACACGAGTCTGCCCTGTTCTGCCTGCTGAAGTCGGGCTGCCAGGCAGGCAGCAACACATGAACTGTGGGTTCAGGCGAGAGACGGGGAGCCTAACTCCAGCCCCGCAGCTGGGATGCTCTGCTCTGGTGGCTGCGCTGCGGTTCCCCACTCCCTGGGCTACTTCTGTTTTTATCCAGCGACGGCACAGCCCCCAGGAGAGAAGCAAAGGCACTGAGCACAGGATCTCTCCCAGCTGCACGCCCAAACACACATCCATCCACATTGACACTTTCAGTCCTCTCTGGATAGCAAGGCAGGGCTCAGCTGCCACCCTGCTATTGTGGGGTGCCTCAGGGTGCCCAGCCCTCTCTGGACCAAGGCAGCCCCTGCAGGAGCCAGGTGCTTTAGCGCCTGGAGCTGTCTGTGTTCCCAAATCACAGCTCTTACCAGTCTCTACTGGTTTGGGGCACACTAGTGTGTGACAGCACATTTTCTACACCATGCTCTCACCCACAGGCTATACGGGTTTGCCTGGAGACCCAATGTAGCTGATTTGACTATGGGCACACATTTTGGTCTTGGTAAGGGTCCTGACCTCCTAAATCAGAGTATAATCCTTACCAGGGTTGCTAACAAGGATTAGACAGGCCAAGGTTTCAGCTAATAAAAGATGGTATTACTGCCTGCCGTTTTGTCCTTAAACCAGCAACAGCTAAATACCTGTGATTCACAAACTGAGCTTCAGGCTAGTTACGTATTTCAGGAATCCAAAACAGCAAATTCAGGATTCTGGCTTGATTATTTTGAAAATGTGATTGATCAACAGTTTCAAATGGATCTGTATCATCTAGACTCTCCCTTAAGATCTGGGAGTATGTCAAAATAGGAGTCTGTGTATAACTGACTTTAGTTATGTATAACATTACAAATTATTACCACTAATTGCAGTAGCAATTAACACTAATTATCTACTCTAATGAACTTTATGGAATTTACACTAAGAAAAACTGTGATCAGTTCTCTTACAGAAGTGCCAGCACAAATACTTAGAGGTAATTTTAGGAAGCAGGTGAAACTGGTTTTGAATCAATACTCCATTTGTGATTATATCTGTGCATTTGCTTAGCACAAAAAAAAGAAAAAAAAACCCTCACTGAAATTGATTGTGAATAAGTTCTGAATATATAAGCTCACAAGACTTCCCCTAATTCTTTGTAACTTCAGTTCACCGTTTATTTCTACGTATCTCAAATCTTTGACTATTCACTGGAAATTCAGCACAATTTCCATCCTTACCAGTGAAAAGTGTAGGTGCGATAAGCTGTCAAACCAGTTTGCCCTGCTTGTGGTGCTCATCACATTAGCACAGCAAGTGTGAACAGTAACCACAGTGCCCATAGCTGAGGTTTTTCTAAATAACTGAGGCTGGGAGATGAGATTAGTAGGCAGGTGTTTGTGACAGAGAGATGTGAAGCACAGTCTTCTCTGGTACATCACCAACAATTGTGAGCAACCGACTCTCTGGATCTCTGCCCTTCAGCAACACCAAAGGAAAACTGTTTTGACAGTCAGGCATTTTAAACAGGAAAGCACTTGTTTGGATAGTTTCCTTGAAAAAAAAAATCTTCATTGTGTTCTTTCATATGGAAGAAATCCCATAGAGTGCTCCTATGCTTGGGAGAGCTACCAGTCAATATCCACAAATCCACTGCATTACTCTTTTGGCTTAATCGATACAATTCTCCTTCATAGCGACACTCATAAAAAAAGTCCCGAGACAACAATTAATGCACTGACAGGCTGTGGCTACTGCCCGTTGAGCTGAGTAATTTCTTTTCCTGTTACTTTCTACTCCCCTGCTTGCGTCCATACATGTACTGTTTCTTCAGTGTGAGCTCTTCTTAAATCCAACTCCACGGTTATGCTTTTTGGCACTAAGTTTACAGTAAATATAAAAGCAAAGATCAATAGTTCACTCCCTCTGCCATTACAAGAATATACTTCCTATGCTTCTCTGGTTATATTTAGAGCAAAGGCAACTGCCCAAATTACTGTATTTTGACAACGCCCATTGAGCGTTAGATCACATATGCCACATCCTTAGATGGATCAATGGTGCTACAGCAAACTCACATTTTGCTAACTTTAATACACGCTCTTTCACCTAGCATGCAATGCAAGTTCACATCCAAAATTATCCACAGTCAGAGGAAACACAGAAAGGTGTTGTGCAAGCTCATGAGAAGACTGTGCTTGTAGCACCATTTGACACCCTCTGTAACACCTGAACGGGACTGGCAGGTGTGACCCACAATGTACGGGAGACCTGTAGGCTTCTGGGACAGTAGCTGGTGGCCAGGTGGGATATCTTGGGGCATATAAAATGGCACTATGTTCAGAGATTTAGACAACGGAGCTATACCCATCACAAGAAAAAGTGTACTTGAGCCACAGTAACACTGGCCTTATTACCTTGACCCATTAACCTGGTTTGGGTTACACTCCATCTTGATGGTGACTCTGGCCGGGGGCTGTGATAACCAGTCTTGCTGGGGAACACGCGGACTCATCTTTGATGTCTGCCCATATTCACTGGAGGAGGAGGCCGTCATCTCTGTCTTTGTAAGGTGGGGCGATCCGTAGGCGCACTCGAACAAGGACTGGTCTTCACTCACCACTGACAACGCTTCCTGCAAACCAGGGAAGAGAAGTCAGCATGACTATGTTTCAGAGCAGACATTACAATATACCCCAAGGAAAAAAGGGCTTGTCCATCTTACAAGAAAACGAACAGCCGGTCGCTTGCTTAAATGCTCATTACTTTTTAGGCACGCCACTGCTGTTGGTGGAGGTGAGGACTCATGGTGCCACACATACCATCAGCATATGGCGGGATGACAGCCTCTCCCCTAGGGAGACCCTTCCCACCAACAGCTGAGAAGATGCACAAACACACGCTACCAAACACTAAGGAATAGTGGCCAGGAGCTGGGAGAGAGGAGAGGACAGGACGGGCAGCAAAGCTTAGGTCTCTGGCATCCCAGATAGGGATGTGGAGGGTCAGATCTGCTGGGGGCGTAAGCAAGCTGCCATCGCTGCTTTAACTGCCCCTGCAAGGAGTGACCGAAAGCCAGGCTTTGCTGACTCACTGGGAGCTCCTCTTCCTTCCTCTGGGACCGGGGCCAAGTCCCTTCTGGACAGAGAGTCGAGACAGCTGGGCGCAACCTCCAATCCAGGGACCCTGCTCTTTCTGCCAGCCAGCATCCGCCGCCAACTTCGGTGGAGGTGTCCACCACCAGCCCCGAGAGGACACCATGCCCACCAGCCGCCTCTCTCACAGCAACCCTTCCTGGTGGACCACCTGGCTGGGCATCCCGCTCCGGTGCTGTGGGAAGGGCTTCCCCAGCCACCTTCCCTCGCCGTGGCAGCACTGCAGTTATGGCCCTCAAGGGTGGCAGGGTTCACCAGGCCCCTCAGTGGCAGGGTGGCTGCCACCTCGGCTGGCTGGAGACCAGACAGACACCAGAGGGAGCAAAGGTCACCCTCTCTCCCCACCGCCACGCATTTGTATTGGCACCAACTCCTTCCCCACATTATCTGGAGCCAAGTCATGGGAGCAAGACGGTGCCCAAGCCCAGCTCAGGCAGGCGGCGTGCCCGCCGGGCCCATCAGGAAGCCACAGGAAAGGCTGATGTTGCCGTAGGGACCCATCCTGCCTGAGCCGAGGCTCCCTGGCCACAGGAGCCGGTCTGGGCTCCCACCCTCCTGCTGGCCCCCAGCACCTCACAGGGTTGGGGGGCCACCCCTCCAAAAGCAGCCTTCCAAGGAAAGCCCTCCTCTCCAGGGGCTACTTAGGGTGAACACGGGGCGTTAGAGTGTAAATGGATGGTAACCCGAAGCGTGACTCCCTCCCCCCTCCCCGGCACCACAGCTCTGCCCTGAGATGCCTGAAACAGGGCAGGGGGGCAGCCCAGCACTTCCCTCCCTCCCGCACGCCCCCGTTGGTGGCCGGGGAGCAAGCCCCAGCATCAGGCTGGCGGGGGGTCAGGGGGGAGGCCACACGA